CTAGCGAAGTGCCGACTGCTCTTTTTCATCGCCTTTTGATCCACTTCCTTTACGGCTTACTTGCAGTAACAGAAGGCAAAACTCTAATGTACAGCGTACCGCTACCGCCAAGTGTTCTTGGCAATGCGCACTTTGCATCTTCAGCTCTTTTCTTCGATTTTGTCTAAGTGTTCATGCTCCTACCAACTCCTCAGATACCTGAAACTTAAAAGTTCTCATCAAATATCGAGATAAAATACACAATTGAAGACACCGTTTGCATTAAAACAAGGCCTTAGATGAGTCCAATTTGTGGGCTCATGATGATGCAAACATAAAGACTTACTTTCGATGCAAATTTAGTGGTCAGAGCAAAAAATTCTTTTGTCTTCTATCATTTTTACAAGTTTCTAGTATTTATTAAAATTTAGTTCCATGAGATGGGTGAGTCTGGAGTATTATTTCATTATGAAAAAGTGTCACAAATTAAATCCTAGAAAGAATCCAATCCGCAGAACTTAAAGAAGCTCAACTCTTCTCAACAATTGCGGCAAAAATGGACAATTCCAAAAAGTGAAAGATTGCCCACATCCAGAGGTAAATCAACTCCCAAGAAACTGAAATAATCAATTGAATAGGTTTGAAGAAACCCATAAATTGAAAGCAGCAAAGAGCGTTCTTTATAACTCAACTCATAGGGTTCATGCAAAATTATGGACATGAACAACTTAACTCGGGATCTTAATGGAAACTCGGTATTTAGAACTCAATGATACTTCTCATCTTAAAAATATTCAATATATAGGGTTCATGGTGAAACATAGACAAGAACGAATCAACTCAAGAATTTTAATGCATAACATATAGCAATTCAATAATTAGGAATAGAATTTCAAAAAGAAACACGAACTCAAGAACTCACAATCAACATATCTCAAGAAATACTCAAATCTAGGATAGATTTCTTGTTTACTGATTTGAATGTAGGTGTAGGGCGTGACGAAGACGAACTCGTCCAACACTATGATATCCTTACATTCCCAAATGAACAAGGTTCTTGAAGATTCTTGAAGAAGAACTTGATTAGACGCCTTGAAACCCTATCATGAAGGAGAAAAATCAAGAAAATCTTTCTTGAGATTTCTTAAATTAGTTTTTTGAAACTCTATGGTCATGAATTATGATTTTCATGAGCGATTTATAATTTTATGAAAAAATTTTAGTTGGAAAAAATTGAATTATTGGAGAAAGACTTACATCAAAGAAGAATCTTGAAAAAGATTGAAAGAGTCTTGAATGGAGTCTTCTACTTTAATTTTTCCGTAGGTTTTTGCCTTAAGATTTTGAGAGGGAAGAGAATGATGAATTAAGAGATAAAAATCTGACTGTTTTGGATCTCTTATTAGTCAAGAAATTTGTTTAGAATTTTCTTAGACGTAAAAAGACAAAAATGATCCTTTTAATGTTTTCCTGTCGGTTAATTCATCACTTCACTATATCAGGTAACTAAAATGGTCATAACTTTTTACTCAAAATTTGAATTGTTGCAAAATTGATGGTGTTTGAAAGAAGATTCAAATACCTTTAAATGGTTATGATACATGTAACTCTTTATATTCTAAGAGATATGGTCATTTGAAGTTTACTGAAAAAGAATCTTACATCAAAACTTAATAGGTAAAGAAACTTTCAACTCAACTTTGTGCTTGGAATTTCTAGTGACCTTAATTGATGTCCAAAATCATTCCCACACTAAATAATTTACCTTTGCGCATATGATTAATTTAGAAATGACCTGATACGACCTTACATGTAAAAGAAGAATAGTATGGATCTAACTTAGAAACTTTTGGGGTGTTACAGATTCCAACAAAAGCACTTTATATATATTTACTATCGAATACAAGTTACTACTAAAATATGAATTACAAAGTAATAATACATTAACTAAGAAGAGATTAACATAGAAGAAGGTAACTAGAAGTTGATGAGATACAAGAATAGAGAAAGAGGATGAGAGATAACTGACAACTAAGTTCCGATATAATTTGCAAAAACCGTTCTTTCTAATCCCTAGACCTTTTTAACAATGAAAAACTGAGCTTCAGTCCCAAATAAAACCAACCAATATTTTACTCAGCCCAATGATATCAACTGGATCGGCCTTATTTACCACATCTAGCACATATACCCTTAAAAAGCTATCTTGGTTCACAACAGATACTCTATCAAACAATGCAACGTAACATATGCAAACACTCGAATCAAATGTTTAAGATCAAATAATACGACGAGAAAGTTTTACATTTTTGTCTTAGTGGTGAAGAATAAAGTTCTTCTTTAAGAACATATTAGCGACAAAAATATTTTAATAGTAATATAATTTGAGGTGATATTTTAAAAGTAAAAAATAAAAAATTAACCAAATCATACTGATAGCAAAGAAAAATCAATAGAACTGAGATAGTTTTTCTATAAAAAGCTAATTTTTGTTATACATCATAAAATCCAAAAAATATATATATTTTAAGAAAAAAGACTAAACCATTGACACACCTAATGTTTATTCATTTATGACCGGCCTCCGGCGTTAAAAGTGATTGATCATGATGGCAGTACAGTAGTTGCTAGACTAGCATCTTAGTTGATTTAGATCTGAATGAATCAGACATATATGACTGATACAAATAAATGGTTGTGCAACTATACAAAAAATGCACTAAATATGAATTGAGATCTAAACAACAATATATAAGGAAAGAATTTTTGACCAAAATAAGCTATTTTAAAAATCAATTTACATAATTAATACGTTTTAAATTTTTTTTACAAAAATAGTATAAACGTACTTTATGGTAACGTTTTAGGCTTTATTTGATTTAAAAAAAAATTAACGCCGTTAACTTAATAATCGTTACTGACAGTAACGATTTTATGCTAAAACGTGACTTGATCCATCCCTTTCTTTAAACGACGTCACTTTGTTACTGAAAGGCTAAATCTGCTAATTCCTAATTTCCTAAGATATCAAAGGCAAAACCCTTTCACCCTTTCACTGTTAAAAAAAAATTGGAGCCGCCATTGTCACTTTCTAAGCTTTGCATATGTAAAAATTGGCTATCCGGAAGATATCTGAAAGAAATTTTACTTTATCAAGTAATCTAGTTGTTGTTAGAGATGGAGCACATCTGATCTCAAACTTCGCACAAGCATCTATAAGATATTTGTTGGTTTCATCACTTGAGAGATCCTTGGGTATATTCAAGTTTGCAATCTTCTCCACTTCCTCTACCATATCAATCCGTCTGCAGAAGCAACTCAGCAACACATAAGTATCTTAGTGCCTTGTAAACTAAACCAAAACATGACAAAGCAGAAAAGATCCCAAACCTGAAGGGAGGAGTGAAGTCAATTTCAATTGGGTCACTCTCCAACCCTTTCGCATGATACTTGATTATATAGCCACCTGTAAGTTCCTTCACCATCCCTGTTCATGTATGTTCAGTAATATAAAATTAGTTTCATTTTCGATCGATAATTTGTGGTCGAAGAGGAGGTGTGAAAGAACAAAAACACAGGAAGACAATGAATGGATTAAAATTTCATTTCGTGGATAAACGGTAGCGGTAGTTTTCCAAATCAATTTTGGGGATTTCTTGTTATATCGAGTTTCACTATAAATTGTGGCTATCAATCTTCTGGAAAGCTTGGAATCAAGTTAATTTCCTGTATTAGAGCCTTGAGGTATGTTTTTTTTCCTTACAAACTAGTAGATGGAATGCTTGAATTTTAGAATTTCTATCTTCTCGTATTTATATCGTTTTGGTTATATAGAATAATCACTCAAGTAATTCTAATCTGCATGTTCTGTTTTTATTTTGAATTCATGCATATTGTTGATGCAAAGAGAAACAATTTGGTGACAGTACATTACTTTGATTTGGTTGTTATATTTTGGACTAACAATTATATTAAATTTACTTTAATATGGATTTTTCAGTTTAATAGATACGTATATGACTGGTTATAGTGC